AAAGACATTGTTGTGGCATTGTTTCTTAAGAACCTTCTAAACGATCAGTTATTTAAGGGATCAATACCTTTGAATGATATGTCATGATCATGCAAAAATGCAACAAGACCATACAAAAGGAAATCAATGTTAGTAGAAAAAAGAATCAAGTCAGATGAAATGATTAGTCAAAGAAATGCAATCTTAGTAAAAATAATTAAATATGACTCAAAGTTGAGACTGAAAAAAATAAAGCATACAAAGGAAATTAAGAGTCCTAATCGCATGCGTTCTAATTCTCCAAGGTTATCCACATGGCTCTAGTGGGGTAGGCTTACTAAATTCTCTATATGAGGTTGGGTTCTAGCAAAGGTTCCTGAGCCATCTTTACAACCTGCTAAGGTTGACTCCGATTTAGGCCACTTATAGACTTGCGAATATGATTCGACTCAAGGGATCACACCACTAAGAGCGTACATCAGATCTGATATCTAGATAGGCAACTTAGGATGCTTTCCAGAGATACTTTATCATACCAACACAAGGAAGCCTAATGCTCATCTTGAGGTATGACGTTCCTCCCTACTTAGGTAAATCGGGTTAGAGCTCGGGTTTAGATCTATGATATGCAATAACCCTAAATAATTTCACGAAAGTGTAAGCATTAACCAAAGAGAAAATCTATTTTTCTTTTGAAATGACATAATGAATTGTAAATTAAAACAATATTGAACTCGTAATTTCCAAAATCATAAATATATGGTAACCAACTCGTGGCTCAACTCTCAAGTTGTTTTAAAAACAAAACGTCCCCAATGAAGTTGTCAAGTTGTCAACATCGTTTTTCACCATGAGAGGGTAAAGACCGATACCGATTCGGGGATTTTCTCTTTGAAAAGATTTCGAAATGTGAGGAGTCGCCACCAATCATTTAAGGTGGGATTGGGACACCCTAAACACTGGGTGATTTTAATTAAACATTTTATTTTTTTATCAAAATACCAAGTTTAAGGTCTGTGAAAATCTAGAAATTGGGTTCGTGAGTCAATTACGCGTGGGGGAGGATTAACACCCCCACAAGCGTCCAAAAATTGGTAACTAGTTGATTACCCTATATTTAAAATAAAAAATTTTGAGTTCGATCTTTATTTAATTTGAAAATCATTATGGATGCAAAGTTGAAAAGAGTATTCGTTTATTGAGACTGATAGCATTCGCTCCCAAGCGTAAATGCGGGAGATCATCTATTGTGCCTAATAGCTGAATATTACCTTGTTTTTAGAAAACATGATGCAGTCTTTGAAAATGATGTTGACCTATTTCGGTAATCACCAATAGTCACCCCTTGAGCATACTGGCGGGAGATAATCATTAATTCCCTAATAAGTGAACATTGACTTAGGTTTAAAAAAACAATGTAATCAAACAAATTTTTATTTAATCCTAATTAAGCTAAGGTAAATTAAATGTTTTTTCTAACTTAAGGTGTCAAATTATGAAATTAAAGGAACCTAGAAGGTCAAACCTAAAAATGTAGGCTCTAATATTAATCCTATTTGATTTTAATAAATTATCGAATCGAATAATCGAGATGGTTACTCGAGCATTTAGGTAAGAGCCAACTCGTATTATTCCCTAGATTTAAAGACTAATTTGAAATCTAACCTAAAGTGGAGACTCTATTTAACCTATTTAATTATGTCAATTTTAAAGTTCTAATCAAAGTTTGGGGACTAAAAAATCAAGATCTAAAAATACTGATTTCTAAATGATCTAAAAGGTTAGAACCTAAATTGATAATTTCTAAAGTTGAGGACTAAATCTAAACTAAAACATAATTATTATCTAAATTATTAAACCTAAAGTATTTTTTAGAAAGTATTAATTAATGATAAATTTTAAAATCGAACAATCGATTCGAGTAATCGGCCATCTTATGCGAAAACTCGACTCGAATTGCTCCCTAATTAAACTAGAGTGTCGTTCTAATTTCTAAGCTTGATTCGAATATTAATCTAATTTAAAAACTAGATCTAGAATTTAAAATATGAAATAATCAAAACAATTAATAAAAAACTTAATTTTTTAAAAAATAAAAACAATAAATAAATAAAAACAAAAAAATTATAAAATAAAAATAAAATAAACCTAAAATATAAGGACCTAATTGTATAAAATAAAATAACAATTACTAAAATGCAAGAAAATAAAAGTTAGTAGTTAAATAAGAAATAAATAGTGACCAAAATGCAAAAATTAAAATAATAGTAGATAAATCAGAAATTAAAAAGTGACAAAAAGGAATAAATTGCAAATATTACATCCAAATCATAATAAAATAATAAGCAGAATCCAAACAGTGGCTAAAATGAATAAATGTAAAAACTAGTGACTAAATTCAAACAAATCATAATAATAATAGTGACTAAATTAAAATAAAATTAAACAGAATGATAAAAGTGCAATAAATTAAAACGAAAGGTTCAGTGACCAAAATACAAAAACACGACAAAGATAGGGGTACCTGTACTGCTATTTGACCCTAAAACTAGTGACTAAAACATAAATTTGCACCTAAAGTATGAGGACCTAAACTTGATTTATCTTTTTTTCATAAAACCATAACATTTTCCCTCATTTTTCATGTAACTCGGCCAAAGCTTCAAACATTCCCTCAGCCACTGCTCACCAGCCCTCATACGCCAAATATCGAGCCGATGACCATCCTACTCCAACCAGTGACCCTACTACGACCAAAAGAAGCCCGACCGAAGGTTTGAACGAAATAAAACTCTCCCCGTTATCTTCCTTTCTCACTCTTTCTCCTCCCTATTTAGCGGCCGAGAAGGCTTAAAAACGAGCCTCAATGCCGACCACCATGCCTTGGTGACCCCTTGCTCCCTCACGATCAACGTCAACCGACCGGCGAAGACCTAAACGACGTAAAAAGCCCTCAACCTTAGCTCATCACCCACAAAACCAAACCCCAAAAGAAAAGCTTTAAACATCGACCTCTCGACCGAAACTCCCAAACCTCTATCGGCTACCAACAACCGGCATTGCTTGACCGTAAGTCAGTCTCTCTCGAACGCCGGCCACCGCTCAACGGTGGCCACCCACCTATGCTATGCTAGCACGAAAACAAAAGAAAAGAAAGAAAATTTGGAGAAGGAAAATGAAGAGCAAGTTACCTTTTTTTAATTTATTTTCCCATATTTTCGGGAGAAAAAAGGGGGCCTTAATACATGGGTTGGTTGGAGTATTAATAACCCCAACTGCTATATTTTTAATATTTTTTATAAAATAATGATAAAAACAAAAACAAAAAAAATGGTGGTTACAATACATAGTACATATCATAATTAAATTTAGAGTAAATTACACATTTAGAATCTAAACTATCAGTTTTGGTATTTTTAGTACATAAACTTTCAAAACCATACCTAAAGTTTACTTCTTGTTTCATTTTAATACCCCATCATTTAAAACTTAACGCATTTAGTACCTAAACTATCCATTTTGATCCGTTTTAGTACCTAAAGTTTCAAAAAAAAATCAAAACTTAAGTATGATTTAGGTACTAAACATGTTTTGGTACCTACACTTTCATTTTTTTCAAAACTTAATGACATGTACTAAAATGAAACAAAAACTAAACTTTATGTATGATTTAAAAAAAATGAAAGTTTAAGTACTAAAACTGATCAAAACTTATAATTTTTGTACTAAATGTGTAGTTTACCCTTAAATTTATTAATATAAGGATCATAATTAATAATTTGTTTTAAGTTGTGAAGAATTTTTATTATTAAATTTATCAATCACAAGTTATTTATTCAATACTAGAACTTTTGAATATATTTATAGATTACAATCTATAAATATAAAAAATGAAACATATTAGTTTAATGATTATAGTTAATCATGTATATTAAACAGTGAATAATTATTTTTGTCACACTATAATATCATTAATTCATAATTTGACAATTTTATCAATTGCAATTTACAAGTCAAGTAAATACTAAAATGGACTAATATCATATCAGTTCAATAATAAGTCAAATCATTCACAAATCAAGTCAATTACAGGTCAGGTTCATAACAGACCAGGTTAATAACAAGTCGATTAATATCTTATATTTACTAGGTTAATCTCGGATTTGATTTCATATCAGGTCAGATGTAGGTCGAGTTTGATTATTACATTATCAGGTTCAATTTAAATTCTATTCGAGTTCAGATCCAAAATTATTATGTCAAACTCGAGTTCATGTGAATACCATTTCAGACTCGAATCTATTACGAATCATCATGCCTCACATCACAAACATTTCTGACCTAAAATCAACTTCAATCAATTTTGCAAGCGAGTCAACTTTCTACGTTACTAATTATTAAATCATTTATATTAATATATTATTGTCGATGAATTCTTTCTTAAGTAACCCTTGTCAAAGAATATTTTAAATTAGTTGCTTACTCGATCGTTTAACTTATTTTATTATTTTATTACATTTGTAAATAACGCATTTTTTAAAAAAAAAAATCACATATTGGTTGTAAACTAATTTAAGATGTATACTTATATTAAACTATTAATTTAATTGCATGAACGAAGTGAATTTAGTAGTTAAATGAATGATTGTTAGATTATAAAGTATTTGACTGTTAATTGTCAAATGATTGAGATTCTTAAGAACATATACTACCACTTATAAGCACCATATATTAATAAAAAAACATTATTCAATAAAGTTTTTTATTATTAAACTGATGTTATTATAAGGTAATATATATTCTAAAGATTTTAAGTCGTTTGACATTGAATGTTTAAACACCTTTGCAAAGGCTAGCGCTCAAACCTAGGACCTTTAAAGATAATAATCATTCTTTTAACCACTGAAGTAACTTGATTAGTACAACTATTTAGTAAAATTTAATTTATTAGTTAGTAAAATATTATATATTAATACTTGTCATTCACTGCTATCTCATATTCTTTATTCACAAAAACACAAATGGACATGAAAAATGAGAGAGTGATTAATCATAAGTTCCAGGTGCATCCCTTGGTTTTTGTGGAAGAGCAAATCAATGAAGCTGATCGCAAAGCTCACTGCTCTGTATGCATGGAGGTGCTTTCAGGTCCATGCTTTAGTTGTGCACTCTGCAATTATCACCTTCATCAGAAATGTGCGGAGGCACCCTATTCAATTTCCGATCACCCTCTCCATACCGACCGCCACTCAGGTTTTTTTCTTCGAGAAAGGTCCCATCCCAATTCTGAGTATGCATATGGTTGTGCATTATGCAAGGGAAAACGTAACTTGTTCTTTTATGAATGTTATATTTGTTCGTTTTCCTTGACATCAAATGTTTAATTTATCTTCTTCGTATAAGCTTAACCCAAAGTCCAAACATGACTTCCACCAACATCCATTAACCTTCATTCAAACTCCCATGGATGAACTCAAAAGATTCAACTGCCTCTGGAGTCATCAACCATCACTTGATGCTATCTATTTTTGTTTTTTTTCTCCATCCTTTGTTTTCCATAAGAAATGCCTTGATGAGTTCCAGCTAAAATCCATCACCCTTTCCATCACCTACACCCTCTTTTTCTTGAATGTAAAATGAATGATCTCTTTTGCAAGCCGTGCCAAAAGAAACATGGTGGATCCTTTTATTCTTGTTCTCTTTGCATTTTTAACATCAATGTTGAATGTGCTCAGCCGAGGCCCGTTGTTGAAGACAAAGGCCGCCATCAGTACCCATCCACCTTACTTTGGAGGTAGAGCGCATTCATTTGCGATCAGGGGCGAATGCACTAAGCTCTTAGGGATCAAGTGCATCTTCATTATTTAGGGAAAAAAGTGAAATTTAGTATAATATATTAAAGAAAAATGGAACAAATAAAAAATTTTACACCCCATTATTTTTAATAAAATAAAATTAAAATTTTGGACACCTATTTATAAATTTCTAGATCCGCCACTGTTTGCGATGCATGTGGCATTGAGGGGAGTTCTATATCATATATATGTGCCACATGGAGCGTCATGGTCCATAAAGGCTGTACAAAACTCCCACCAATTATCAAATTTTCAAGACATGATCACTGTCTTTTTCACAAATATTTTCTCCGAAAACAAGAGCTTACAAGGGATGATTGCAAGATCTGTTTCGAAGAAATGAAACTAGAGTGTGGGAGTTACTCTTGTGTAAAGCCAGGTTGCAATTACGTTGTTCATGTGAATTGTGCCTTGGAGGATTCAAATCTGTACGAGGTAATTGAGGAATATTGCCGATGTGAGGAACTCAATGCAGATACGCAGTCTTCCATCACTCGTGTTATTGAGGTGAATGAAGATGGGGAAGCCACAAAGATTGAACATTTCAGCCATGAAGGTCATTGCTTGGTGTTAGCAGACAAGATGGAGGACGAAACTGATAGAAAATGTGATGGGTTTTATTATTGTTCGGAATCAGATTGCCATTTTTGTCTTCACAAAAATTGTGCTGAGTTGCCAAGAATCAAGCCTCTTTAGGTCTATCAACCCAATGTCACTCTTCAATCCAAAGTCTTCCTGAGATGTGCACTGTGCATACGAGAATGTAGTAGTTTCTTCTACGAAGTTGGAGTATATTACGTTTGCATAAGGTGTGCTAAAGTTCCTGATATCATTGAAGGTCAAGGACACTAACACTTTCTCTGTTTTGATTTCAAATGTAGGGAGCGATGTAAGGGATGTGGCACTTTTAATAATAGCTGGGGGGGTGCATTCAGATGTAGAAGCTGCAAATTTGCTTTGGATTTTGCATGCTTAACTTTACCGCATTCAGCTCTTCACAAAGTGGATCGACACATGCTATACCTTATAGCTTACTTATAATAATGATAATGATTATTCAAATCATTGTTATTGTGATATTTGTGAAAGAGAAAGAGATCCAAACCTTTGGTATTATCATTGTTCAATCTGTGATACTTCTGTTCATCCCAATTGTGTTCTTGGAGTATTTTCATTTATCAAAGATGAAACCAGATTGCCTGAGTATTACGATAACCCACATCATCATTAACCTTTTTTAAGAAGACCGAAGGTTACCCTAAATGCTTTCGTTGCGGTAAGCTTTGTCTTGAATGCAACTTTATTATCCACTTCAAATGTCTATAAAACAATTAGAGCTTTCGAGTAAGTTCCCTGAAAAATTAAAGAATCATCATTCTTTCTAATCATTACTATTTTGTAAAAATTTTAATTTTCTCCATGAAATTAGATGTGCGGGAGATCTTATCCGACTCAAGAAATTCACAAATGACATGACATTTTATTCCAACTTGTTTCAAAAAATAGTTCTATTGAGTTTTATCTATGATTCTAAGTATTGTAATTGTGAGTGTTGCTTGATTTATGATTTTGTGTGATTTGATTTCAATGTCATTTTGAGATTTGTTTAAGATTTTTTTGAGTTTATATGATTTGATTTCTGTATTACTTTAAGATTTGTTTGTGATTTATTTAAGTTTATATGATTTTATTTTACGTTTCTTTATGATTTAACATTTTTTTTTAAATATGAGTTATAGAGTTTTTTAAAATTAATTTTGCAATGTTAATTGATTTAATTATTCTTTTGTACTGCACTTATATACAAGCCACCTACCTCAAATATGTCTTCGGCTGCTTCTGGTTCTCAGGCTTTACACGTAGAAGATTGCCTTCTTGGACAAACCCAGTGATAAAAGAAAAACACTATGTAACAACTGAAATATCAAAATAGTAGGTAATTTAAATGAATGCACGACAGTAGTTTGCATGGCATAAACACATCACCTACTTTAATAAATTCACAAAGGACTTGACATTTCATTCAGGCTCGTTTGAGAAAATAATTCTCAAAGAAAAAAGAAGTTCAATGAGTTTTATCTATAATTCTAGGTGTTATAATTAGGGATGGCAACGGGCCAGGTCTGGACCAGATCCAGTTAGACCCAAATGCAAACCTATTTTCACATTTTGAATCTAGACCGCCCTGAATCCGCGGGTCTAGAAAATTGGGACCTATATCCAGATCCAACACGGATCCGGGTTCAAAATGGGTCTGTTGAAAAAGACCATTCGATCTATTTTTCAACGTAATAAAATTGGCATTGATTAATTTCACATCACATCTCTAATGGAGGAAATATTAATTTCAATACAACTAGTAACAGAATGAAAAACGATAAGCAAAAGTCTAAAAAAAAACTCTAACACAATTACACAAATGTCTTTTGAATAACATAAATATTAAAAAATATAGATCATAAAATATTTTATTATCGCAAGCTAAGTACCACACCTCTACCTTCTTAGAATGCTAGTCTGCATCACTATTCTTAGAATGCTAGTCTTCATCGCTACTTAAATCATCAACATTCTAAAACAAACAACAACCAACCAAATAGAAAATTTTGTTTAATGAAAATAATATTTGTGTAATTCAAATATTAATATTAAGGTTATATAATATAATAAATTTTTATATACCATGTCATTGATATTCACCACTTCCACATCATCATCGTAGTCTTCATTAATAGTGGAACAAGCATGTGTTCCTTCAAAAGTGTCTTTGTCATAAACAAATAAAAATTACATTAGAGAATAATGTGAAATATAAAATTAAAGAAAAAGAAGGGAAATAATATAACTACTAGTAAGTACAAAATTACATTTGGCATCTTCAATCATCTAATATTGCAAGCACATTAAAGCCTTCACGTTTGAGAATGAAGCCTAGAACGGTGAGCACTAACCATTCTTCCATGCTAAATGCACTTTCCGAAACAACCGAAGAGACTGGAATTACAATAATGTCCTTGCCAAATTTTCATAAAGTATGGTAATTTCAGTCTCTTTTCCACCAACAAAGAACATTAAATTCATTATCCTTGGGCAAAGTACGACTCTCCAAGTATTGATCAACCTCACCCCTAACCGATACCATTCTAGTTTTTTGTCTCTTTGATCTAGCAAAATCAACCTCGTCACTATACTTATCAAAACCTCTCGTTAATGGTGACTTTTCATTCACTTGATTGTCTTTACTTTGATACTCAATAACAAGGTTATCAAGAGTCTTCTTCACCCTTATCAATTCACCATCAGCACCATCTCCGTATAATTTTCTAAAATAATGAGTGACACAATCCATTTTGTTTCTTGGATCTAATATTGTAGTAATAGCCAAAATACCATTAATATGTGGCCAATATTTGTCAAACTTTTCTACCATGCTCTTGGCCATTTTCCTAATAACCTCAATATTGCCACTTTGCACCCAACTACTCAAATAAAGTATAATCTCACTCACAGTTACAAATTCACAGTTGGATGCTTTATAACAGAAAAAACTTTAGTGGCCTTATAGAAAATTTCCAACTTTTGACAAACAAGAGTAGCCATACTCCAATCATGGTCACTAGGAACAACAAATTTCAACCTTTTATTTAGATGTTTCAACTTATTAAAAACAACTTTAAAAGGCAAACTAGATTCAAGCATCAAGTAAGTAAAGTTCCACCTAGTTTTGCAACCAAGACCCACCTGTTTAGCTTTAGTCACATTCAAAAGACAACAAACCTCCTCAAAATTTTCAATTCTTTTAGGGTTAGACATCTAAAATGCAATACACTCTCGAACTTTGACAATTGCAGGATCAATAACTTCTAAACCAGCTTTCACAATCAAGTTTAAAATATGAGCACTACACCTTATATGAAAACAATCTCCACCTAACACCAAATATCTACTTTCCAATTTATCCATCAAAACATTCTTCATTGCATCATTTTTAGTACAATTATCAACAACCACAAAAGAAACTTTATTTTTCAATGAATATTAAGACAAACAATCCATTAGAATCTCAGCAATAACCTTTTTTGTGTGAGGACATGGCACAAAAACAGAACCTACACAAAATCAACACACAAACATAGAAACAAGTTCAAAATAGAATCTAACACACAAAAAGCCATTAATCACTATATTAACACAAACACACTTCAATTTCACTATGTCCATAATAGAATCAACACAAAAAGTATTTTAGATAAACTTAGAAGCCACTAAGCTCTTATATATTGTCCACAATATAACCAGTATATCATTTATTAAATATTATAACTAAATTAACCAAACAAATAATTAACTCAATGTTCTATTATGCAAAATCCATTGTTGATCAATGAAATGTGATGTCACCGCTATATGCCTTTTTCTCTGGTCGGAGGCGGTTCACATATCGGTCGTTATTGCCATTCTACCCTCGTTACGCTAACAAAACCTTAAGAGAACTCCTATCAGTGTTGTACAATTTCAGCACATCACTCCTCAATGTGTTCCTTTAAATCATCTTGAAGTTGTCACTCAAACTCTTGACGAAGCTCCTAAAACCATTGTGATCCACAATTGTGACAGGATGCTAATGTATTACTACCATTCTAACCAACTCTCTCCTTGAAATTTTTTTATCAAATATCAATTTCTTTTATTTTTCCTTAAGTGCCAGATTTGCAAACTCATCCTCTTGGGTTTTAACTTTCAATTGTGATTGACCAGTCACAATATTCAAATGCCTTTTTTAGCATTTTTTGGACATGTTCGAGCATGTATGAAGTTCCACTACTTCCATTGTAAGAGAGTTTTTTTTACAACTCTTACATTTTGTCCTTTGCATACCATTCTCTATAACCAATTCAAAATATTGTCATGCTTCGGAAATTAGTTTCTTGCATGTTTTAATATAACTACTTGACACATTTTCTTTCTCAGGATCATTCCCAACCTCAACAAAGATTTCAAAATACCCTTCTTTCCCATTTGATTCAGGCACTTCAAATGGTTTTTCAATAGAATGACAAGAATCAACATCACTATCTTTGAGAGTAACCCCATTGACAATTGATTGTTCATCCATAACCTCTGAAAATTCAACAAACCAATAATGATGGATATGGTGTCAAAAAAATTACAAAAATTACAAAAACAAAAATTTATAACAGTGTAGAGAAGGTGAGTATATAACAAAAACTTATAACAGTGGCAAACAAATAGATAAATCCAAGAAAAATTAATTTTATTTAGTGTTGAGCATCAAAGATGAATACCTTCAAATTGCAGAAATCTTCCGACTATCCGATGGGTATATGACAATCTCTCAAAATAATTGCAATTCATAAAGAAGGTGGGTAAAAAATCAACCATATAAGAACTAAGATGTCTCCCTCTATAAAATATTTATATATATTTTAAAACCTATTATGTCATTATATATATTTACCTTTAAGATAACGAGTAGCCCACGCCAATTCCCCATCCCAACTTAGTACTCGCCTGGAAAAGTTACACCAACCCAAGATAGTAACCCAAATATTCTTAGAGAACAAGCACTTAAAGAAAAGGTGTCCCCTATTATCTAGCATACTGCCCCAAAACCCACAATGGCTATCCACCTCCATCCCCAAGCGTAGAAGCCTATCTCTCGTATGGAGCCTCCC